GCGTATACAGAAGTATGCAAGATCTAGGTACCGGCGTCCAAGGTCAGCATCAGGATGACAAAATGACCGCAAAGAGCTCACCTCAACCCCATGAGGAATCTTTGAGATGACTCGAAGCATGATACAAAGGAAGAAGACCACCAACGCGAGTGAGCAGTTCCGTGCATTCTAAGGCATTTGGAGACGAATATTCGTGGATACCCCTGAAGCTCCTGTGGATTCGAGTTGAGTGGTAAAGGCTCTGATCACATACAGTCTGAGATAGCTGAACAATTTTCTTTCTCTGTTGAGTTCCCGCTATCTGCTCACCTTTCCCTGTTTTGCTATCGAATAAGAGCTTCAGAACATGTGAAACGGATGAGATTTTGTTGCTTGTTCTGAGTTTCTGTGTCCAAGAGTGCGGAAGCTACATTTGAAGAACTGGGGCTCAGCTTATAACTGCAATGAGGATCTCCTGAGCGCTGGCCCTAACCATAAGTGGAAGCTGCTTTGTGGGTACGTCTATCACGGATCTATTATACAACTAACCTAAGCAGGGAAATCCGCCAAATTACCATGGAACTTCAACTGGAGACCTGGGTTGATAGAGTTTACAGACTCGCCGCTAAATCTACAACAGGAAAAATTCGGGGACGAGTTTTCCGCGGCCTTGGAGCAGGCTTTTTGGACTGGAGCGCGCTATCCCTTCAACAGAAAATTTGGTAGTCACTTCTTCCTTGTCATATATTGCGATGGAAGCTATAAACTATGCAGAGGGGAATCTGTGAGATAACTCTCCGTTGTAGCGCCATTTGTTTGGAACGGCCGACTTCTACAGCGAAGGTTACCATGCTTAGTAAGCGGTGCTTTCTTTAAAAAGCGTTTCTCAACATTCACCGCAACAGGTCAGAACCATGAAACAGTGATTTTCTTTTAGAAGTGGTCATTCCACAAATCTCAATAACTGCTCTGAATGAATCATACCATTTCCAGCAGTTCTAAATCCTAGAACTGTCTGTGAGCAGGGATTGCTGGAAATTGTATCACACCCCGAGCAAACTCTTTACCATAAAGACCATGTCTCTTTGGATCTTTGCAAACATGCCACTTAATCGAAATTGATGGAGACAAAGAGAAGCGGTGCTAGAGACTCGAACTTCGACTTCTTTTTTGGAACGGCAGTGACTCACTGTTACAAACAGCCTGCCGTTTGGTATGATGCGAAGGCTGATGACTTTGCTCTACCCATATTCCTTTTTTCCGACAAACCCAATCGTATTTGCGATGGCTTGATACATTTCTTTCACGTGCGAAGTTCCTTCGTGTGGGCCAGCAGAAGGCAGGAGATTCCGGCTAATCAGAAGTTCAGCAAATCAGCTTCACCATAGAATGCTTTAAATTTTTAATGAGCAGGAGCTCGCTCTCAGCTTCTCTAAGCAAACAGCGGAGGTGCACCTATCATTTGGCACGAGGCCATGTGCATAGCTTACAATACTGAAGAATCGGTGAATAGCGAAGCTGATAGAACCCGACAATTAACTCAAATACGCGAAAAGGGGAGCATAAACATCTACTCCACGTGGTATGGGGACTATCCGAAAGTATGAAACACTGCGTAGACGAGAATAAGTTGATGAGTGTTAGAAGCCTCACGGTGACCCAAATGTTTGATCTCGCATAAGTAGCTGTTATTTTTACTGGGCGAGGTAGTTCTATTTGCCGTTGTGGTGGATCTCAAAATATACACCCAAGGAAACACTGCACTGTCCAAAGCTAGGCATCGTTTCCTCAAGCTTACATTGGCACATTCAAGCTATTCATCGAATTGTGATAAAAATGTAAAAGCTGGCTATTCTAGACGAATGTCACCACAAAAGAACTGTGTCAGACATTTCCTTCCGAACTGCTCACATCGTCCTTACAACATACTGCGGACGAGAAGCCAAAACCGTATTGTGTTGAAGGGATAGCGCGCTCCAGTCCAAAAAGCCTGCTCCAAGGCCGCGGAAAACTCGTCCCCGAATTTTTCCTGTTGTAGATTTAGCGGCGAGTAGTTTACAGTTGTAAAAATCCATACTAGATCGAGTACGTCATATACTTGATGTACTTGATCTACTTGCCCTGCTGGGCCGTAAATTCGGGAATTTCGAAAATTAGAGTTGAAGCTCTTATACGGAGCGAAGCAAAAATTTTCGCGCCAACCGGATGCAAACGTTTGACTTGAAAGCGAGACCATTACCACGAGGCCACGGTGGCACTGCCGAGGCATCGATCAGCAGCGCTTACGAGCCAGAACTCAAACTTTGACCACCCAGATCTCGTCTGGGAGGTCCCCGTAGCACTTTTAATCTGCATATTCGTAATCAGCATTCGAGGCTCTATCGACCTAGGTCTCCATTCAAAGTTCCATGGGAAGTTCAAACCATTCCCTTGTGAGGCAATATGATCGGAGTTGGTCTTCATGAGTCGGTTCATGCGTTAGTCTGTCACTCAGACCGTCAAGTCTTACTTGTTTGCGAAAAGGTGGTCAGGCTTGTTTAAGTCTACTTGTTCTTGACGTTCTATTCCCTTTACTACAATCCACAGACCTTCTTCTTTTCAGAGCCTTCTAGAGCAAGAAGCACATCCAATGTCATTGTGGTGCCGTAGTGTTTATCACTTCCAACAACTTTCATCAGCTATTTATATTTTTTTGTAATAATTTTCTCCAGAGGCGGAGATGATGTGGTAGCAAGTGGCATGGCACACTTACCGCGCTCACGTCTAGGGACCGATTTCCGGATCGGCTCCCGCCGAGGTCAACCAAGGGGAACGGTAAATTGGTACCGATCGTACGTCTTCTGGCCCCGCACTGTATAGCTACATCGCATTTAATAAGTTGAAGTGATGGATCAACGGCAAAAACTTTATCCTCTATCCTTTATCCTTGGATTTCTGCGAGCACATCTAATCTGCGAAAACCCGTTTTTGGAATCATCAAAATCTCTTATAACAGTTGGAAAGTACACAGCTTCAAATTACTCCAAGTTTTTTCTTCTTTCTGTGCTACGGTTCATGGTTATAAGCTTTGAGGCTTCTCCTTCGGAACAGTAAGAAAGATGAGGCTCCTTCTAGTTGAACACTGTAAAACTTCAGTGGCGGACAGTTTGAGCAGAAATGGGGTAAAGCCAGGAGTTCCTTCGCAAAGGACTCCCCATACAAAATATGAGTGGCACTACCTTGACGCAATGTCGGCGAGAGGGTTGAAACGAGCAGTTGTGACGATGCGTAGTCGCTCCCTATAACCCAGATACCTCTCCTTGATTTTTTAACACTTTGCAACCTTTCAACGATTCAAACAATATTTATCAAAAATAATGGAAACAATAAAATATTGAGCACCAAGTAACAGTTCACAAAAGCTTCCAGGATATACTTCCTTAGAAAATGTTCAAAGGACTCGGCGACGTTGAACAAAAGGAAAACTCTGAGAAGGTGAATCTGGGGCAAAAAGGGGCACAGATAGAACCATCTCTTCTGTAACTGAGGGTGCTGGAAGCGGAGAAGGCTGCGGTTGCGTTGGAATTGCTACTTGAGGATCCTGTGGTGGTTGCGATTCCGTCGGCGTAGGAATCTCCGGAACGGGAGGGTGCGAGGGTGCAGATCCTGCAGGTTGCGCTATTTGGGTTGGGAACTGCTGGGCTAAAGAAGGGGAAGGTGATTGTGCGAAAAACAACATATTAGCGTTACCGGTGAGGTATGGAACAGGAAGTGGATGTTGGTAAACAGGTGATGGCAATCGTAGGCGTGTTGCAGCGGTGAGATAAAATGGTACTTCACTGGTGACTGGTGGCTGCTGGGCAGGTGCAGGAGGTTGGGGCTGAGGAGGAGTTATTGAAGGCTCTGAGTGTGCAGGTGATGGTACTGGCATTGGAAACAGAGTTGCTGGGGGCAATATTTGACGAGGAGAATCTGCCGCAGGGCGTTCAACAACAGGCACCAGCTTCTCACGAGGCCCTTCTGGTAGTGATAGAGGTATCGATTGTGGGAATGCAAATTGCTCAGGTGGAGAAGGAGATCGAGCTGAAGACGGCTCCACAGTGACTATGGAAGGAAGATCAGCTGCTGCTATCGATGAAAGAGCTGCTTGAAGCAATCGTGCGACTTCTGGGCTGAACGATTGCACCGGCCAAGCGACTTGTCCAGAGCAGGTGACCACAATAGCGAGGAACCACCTGAAAGACTGAGGTTTATTTCATATAAAATTTACTACACAAACAAATTTGAGCACGCAAAAATAACCATAAACCTTCAATACCAAATTCTTCACCGAACATTTTTGATATCTTTGTGGACTTTGCGGTTATACATTTTTTCGACTACCTCCTCACTACTTTCCTGTTATGGGGCATCCTAGGCTGCGCTTCATACTTTGCGACAGCGTCCACCAGCCTCTACCAACGTTCACTAGCGTTCCGGGGATCCGGCAGCGTACGTTCCTAGTGAGCGACTAGGAACGTATAGATATCGATCTAGCGTCTCCCAGCGTCTACCAGAGTCTGCGAGTGTCTGCCAGTGTTTCAGCGCATAGCGTAATGGCCTGACCTCGGAAAGTATAAAGGGCTCCCTCCGAGAGGGGTCGCCCGAAAATTAGGCGTAGCCGGGCTTACCCAGGTTTGTGTATCCCTCATTAGTGCGTCTCTCCCACCTATCTGGATACAGCTGAATGTGCCAGTCACCACTTCATACCATTCACTGTTATGTTCATCCTTATCGAAAGTCGGTAAGGGGCGTGGCTGCGCATTTTATTCCATGGCATTTCTAATTATCTCCGGCTCTTTTCGTCAGGACTCTCATCACTTCCACAGCCACGCCGCTCGCTACTCTCTGAAAAGGACTATATGTTCCGAGGAGAATTTGGTATTTACTGACCTACCCTGTAGAACCCCTCCCCTCGCCCTTGAATCCTATCCGCAGCCTCAACGTGGCGTGGGGGTGAACGGTTTGGACTGTTCCAAACCGTACCAATGCGGAGGGTGCCACGTCAGAGCCTGGCGAGCTACGCGTGGTCAAATTTCTTCACGCCGAAAACAGTAATAATTATGGGCCTCATTCCCCTGAACCTGAGGGAACCACCGACAGACCGCCTACGCGATGGTCAGACTTCTTCGTGAAAGCTCTGAACGAATGGTATGAAGTTCATCGTGTCCCTCGAGCAGAGAGAGTCCATTGGGCAACTCTTGCACGTTGCAGGGACGAATGGAGACGTTACTGGCGCCCGCTCGAGGAACTCGATGATCAACGGGAGCACAGGTGATACAGGTGAGGTGACACCCTGTAGAAACGCAAGGCCTTGTTGGCTCGAAGATGGTTCGATCCCGAGTTGACTAACAGACATTGATGGGGCAGGCACTTGGTGCTACGCCTTCTGTGTCTCACTATGATGTATACGAATATTACATAGCCACGGCTGCAAGAAAACTTTGACAGAGATGTTGGGACAGATGAAAGTGAGACCAATTTACAGTCCTCAGAGCGTAGAAGGCTTGCTTGCCTTCTACGCTCTGAGGAGCCTGGGAGGGGCCGATCCGAGACCTGACTTCAAGACCGAGCGGGTGGTAAGCGAGTCAGTGGACCACCTGCGCCTCAAGTAAAGTAGCAATATTCCAAAGGTTTCGTTAACTTGTGTTCCAGAAGTAGACTAGGTTATATCCTTAATAGGAAAATAAGAACTGAAAAATCGCTCACCACCCGCCGGGACGCATGACGTGGAGCAGAAGCGTTGCCGTCGGCTCTTCGGATGTCTCATATATACGGCTACCAAAGGCAAACACCGTGAGATCTGTCCAGCCGCCGAGCCCGTCACAAGTCGAAGGCCGGATCCGATGGTGTAATGTGTCACTGATTTCACGCCCGCCATTTCTTGCTCCTCTTTTCGAGAAAGGCAAATAAATCACATGGTCAACGCTGAGTGAGGTGTTTTTCGCGGTGTATTTGGCGCGCGTGCACTCCGGTTTTTCACATTTCGAATACAGAATGCGCTACTATGGTGGTGACTTCGTTGGGAGCTATGTAGGAAGGGGTAGCCGTAACTCGTGGAGTGCAGGAGACGCACGTTGCTGCGGTGAGCACTACTTAGTGCACTATTCCTTAAAGGAACGATCCGCGAGGACTTATGAAAATGCAAGAGGTTATGTGGGAAGGTAATGCGGTCCGGAGTGGGCAACCCTGTGCCAGTATCGCGGCGGAAAGTTG